AAGGTAAGAAGTTTCCTACTAAAACTAGATAGTACTTACAGAATTAACAATCTTTATGCTTTGGGAAAAGAATGTTACCTCCCTACCTGTGTAAGTACCATATCTCTGACTGACGCGTAGGGGTCCAAAGTGTCAATTAATGACGAGAACTGCTTGTAGGGATCCCAACCTTACAGCATACTCCGTGCGAGAGGAACTTTGGCCCTCTATATCCTCCTGCGTTCAGGTTGCAAAGATGTGGGTGTACTTGACCCGAAGACAGACCAAAGTACCAGGGTCCCAAAGGGGGTGATCTGCCTTAATGAGAACTCTCTTGTATGGACAAGAATAAGGTGGAAATCACAGGATATAGCAAAGATTATTAACAACCAATCACGAGTACGATTCGTGATTGGTCGCATCATACCACAAGACACCACGTAATCCAAAGTCATCCAATAATCATGTAATGCTACATATGGAAAGCAAACAGTATGAAGCACTATTAAAATTAGTCAAAGAATAAGAGTTCTGAGAAATAAATCTGTAATAAAGCCAAGTACAGTTACCACAACTTTAAGTGAAGGGTCTAGAAGCATTACCTGAGCTTGGCTCCCGGACAGGCCCCCAATTTGTGATACTAAAAATAGGTGTTATTGCAGGTCTTCTCTATGTAGAAGGAATGCCAGTCACAAAAGTAAAAAAAAGTTGAACTGCAAGTTGTCTTCACTGTGAGGTTAGCTGCAGGAGAAAACATACAGAACAAAAATTTAAAAATACTTTACTTTATTAGGAATCTTACTTTAAACAAATTACAAAATAAAATTATTATTAAACTTGGCTTTATACAGAATGCAAATTAAACAAGATAAACAGACAATTAAATTCGTGTTACGTTAATACTAGAAAATATGGTGCAGGAATACTGTGAGTCAAACTGAATAGCTCTATTACCACACTGGGCTATGTCAACAAGTCTACTTAGCAAGAGCACTCAGGAGTAATCTAACTCGTAGTGGGCTAAGCAGCCCTATTTATACACAATGACGGCCGGGTAGATGGCACTGGTGACTTCTTTAACTATTAACCGGCTGTTAAACTGCTTGTTTCGGGTGGTGTCAGCTCACAGGGCGTCGCCAGGTGCAAGGTGGAGTGACGAGCAAAGGTGAAGGGTGGTATTACCAGTCACAACGGTGACTGGTAATACAGTCTAGACGTCTGGAAGTAGTTGTTGTTGTTGTTGTTGTTGCTGCAGTACTTGAATATATAGACGTGGTAATGGGTAGAATAGGTGATAATGGAGCAGGCCGAATCTCTTCCTAGAGATTTTACCGTGACACAATAAATAAATTCACATCAATAAAGAATAAAGTAACAATTCTTGCCATTGTTTACAATTATTAATATGTGACAAGATACCAGAAGTGAAAGGTTAGGCCAAAAAATATATGTAACCAATCACAGTGAATGCTGCATTAAAATTAAATTGAATTAATTAAAATTAATTAAACTCATCCTCTTACAAATTACGTTGATTTTTACTCGTATGGACTACGGCCAAAAAAGGCCATAATTTGAAAATGAAAAATTATTGAAAATAAATTGTGGAATTTTGTTTTCCAAAACAGAAAGATAATGGTCCTCTGGTATGTTAGGAGGGCAGGAAGTTCTCCTAAGGTTTTTAAACGTCATGAAAACCATTAATTGAAAGTTTCCTCTCCTAACCTAACTGCCTAAGCTAGACGACCCAAAATAGAAAACGAAACAGTACGTCACTTTCATGAGCCGATTTCATTTTGAATTACGTCCTTTTTAACCTGAGTGCTCATACAAGCGAAAAGCGACGTAATTTGCGAGAGGATAAGTTGAGAATAGGTAAATGAAGGCAGCACCATTCCTGTTGAGTCTCCCTCCAAGTATAGTCCCCGAGGGAACTCTGAGCCAACTAAGGAACCCAGCCATACAGTCCACACAGTAGCAGAGAGCAATATCAACACAGTCATCCAAGGGGCCACACATCCATAACACTTCTACAGCAAGTGGCAGCTAAGAAATTATATACTGTTTATTTAGTTATTTATATGTTAAATTTTTGTAGTTTAGTTCTTGTAATACTAAGAATTATATTTTATATGTTCATTTACTGAGGGAGTCATTAAATCCCACAAAGACTACAGGCAGAGAAAACAAAGGTTTGGGATTATATAATGCCTGAACCTGAATAAATTGAGATTCATAAACTAAATATCGTATAAATGATGTGGAGTGATCTAGTGAAGATACGCTAGTCCCTCTTTCGCTTATTCCAAGAAAGTGGGACTAGCCTATTCTCCATCCAATCATGTCACGTCATTTATACTATAATTGGTTTATGGATCTTAATATACTTATGTGTAGTGGGTTATATAATCCAAAAGCCAAGTCTTGTGATGAAACACGAAAAAGTTCGGAATTTTTGTCTCATTCTTTCCTACATGGATATTTCCGTATAACTTTAAATGATAAGAACAGCGAGTGAAAAGAGTCACTGCATTAATCTATGGATGGTCGAAAGGTGGGGCTTAAAGCTCGACCCTGCTAGCTCAACTAGATGTGTACAACATGGTTACTATACACACCAGGTCTGTTGCAGATATGGAATCAGGATGATAAACTAATAATTGTAAGCCCACCAGCAAGCAACACGTGGACAAAGGATGCACTTGGTGACAAACGAGAGGGGCCTCATAATGGTCATGAGAGAAATTATAGTAAGGGCAGATAGAGATAGTCACGATGGTTGGTACTGAGGACTTCAACATGAAAGCATTAGACTGGGAGACGTACGTAGCAAGAACAAAGGAAACTTGGACTGGCAGATTTGTAAACCTCATGCTGGAGACATTCATGTATCAACACGTCAAGCAGGCCACAAGAATGAGGGAAAAGAATGTTCCATCAGTACTGGATCTAATATTCACCAGGAAAGAAGAGATATTTATTATCCAGTACCTTCCTCCACTGGGAAATAGTGATCATGTCCTGTTGGATATTACATATACTTTGCGTATAATCTAGAAGAGAATCGTGACAATGAAACAGATGATAAACTCGATTCAAGAGAGGACACTCTGGGGAACTTAAACAATTCTTTAATGAGTTTAATTGGACATACTTGTTGCTAGGCAAGGAAGTAATTGAGATATATGCCAAATTTTGCGAAATATACGATGAAGGCGGATAAACGGATAAATACCAAAACAGAGATGCAGGACCAGAAAACAGGATTGGTTCAACAGTAATTGTGAGAGGGCTTGAGAGGAAAAGACAAGAAAATGGGGACAATATAGGAAGAAGCCTAACCCTCAAACACAACAGCACTACAAGCAATCCTGAAACAATTGCACAGTACTGAGAAGAGCGAGAGAAAGAAACTTTGAGAAAAATATACCAGACAAATGTAAAACACATCCAGACCTTGTCTATAAATTCATTTAAAGCAAAGAGCATGTAAAGAATAAAATCCAAAGGTGGAGAACGGGGAACAGGACTACTGAGAAAAAAATATGTGAAAAGCTAAATGAACAGTTCCAAAGTGTGTTTGTACAAAATGAGGATTCCAGAGAGCCGGACCAAATACCAATTCCAGAACACGCCACAGAATACATAGAGGTATCTCAAGACGAAGTGGAAAAACTACCCATTCCACACAAGAAGCTGTTCAGGAAACTGGAATATGCTGGAGGGGTGACAGGGAGACTGATGACATGGATGAAAATTTTTCTAACAGACAGATGAGGGCAGTAATTAGAGGCAATGTATAGTGACAAAGAGGAATTCCTGAAACCAGCAACTTCACGAACAAGAGGACACAGATTCAAGATAAGATAACAGTGGTGCCGAAAAAATATTATAACATTTTTTTTGTGCAGAGTGGTAGACGGTTTTAACAAACTAAGTGAGAAGGTGGTAGAGGCAAAAATTGCCAGTAGTTTCAAAGTGTTATACGACAAAGAGTATTGGGAAGACGGGACACCAATAGCATAGTTCTCATTCTGTATCTACACTTAGGTAATTACACGTTAGAAGCGTTTACCTAGTCAGGTACAAGACAAAGTTGGACAAGGTTCTAAGGTATGCCACCACATTACTCCCACAACAACGAGGTATGAGTACCAGGAACTGGTTCATGAATTGTATTTCAAGTCGCTAGAAGATAAAGTTAAGGGACACATGATTACTACACACAAAATCCTTAGGGAACTGTCAGAGGGTGATGAAGGAAGACTATTTGCTACGGGAAAGGAGCTGGGGGGGGAGACACAAGTGAAACCTGAGTACCCATATGAGTACAGAGACGTTAAAAAACTTTTTTCACTGTCAGAGTAGTTAATAAATGAAATGCACTACACAGTGATGTGGTGGAGGCTGACTCCATACACAGTTTCAAATGTAGATATGACATCCCATTATGTTCAGTAACCTGTACACCAGCTGATTGACAGTTGAGAGGCGGGACCAAGGAGCTGAAGCTCACCTCCCGCAAGCACAATTAAGCGAGCACACACAATTAACACCGCCACGCCACACAACAAAACATCAAACAAGCAACACTCTCGTGTTCATTATCAAAACATTACTTACTTCAAATAAATGAAGTTTTAAAATAAATGACTGTTCAATATTCATGAACAATTTCATAAATAATTGATATAAACAATAAAATAAATGGCTTAAATAATTACTGGATAAAAAACAAATGTGTATTTTGTTTAACGCATTTAAAAAAATTATACTTGTTCATATATATTTAAACAAATTACCATTGGAGCCCAAGGTTAATTTCAAATAAAAAAAAAGTGTTTCAAAATGTTTCTGTATTTTTATGCGTGACCGCTAGCCACTGTATTTATATGAATTTATATCATCTAATATAATTCTGATAAAAACAATAATGACATTTTTCAGCAGATATATTTGCATAAAGGGCAAGACACAGGTACTCAAGACAATCACACAAAAGTGATATAAATCAATGTGTACTAATATTGATATATTATCATGTTAGTGATCCTTCTTCCCGTATCTGAATCTGAAGCTGCAGCGTCCCGTTGTTGTTTATCTGAAGCTGCAGTGTCCGGTTGTTGTGTATCTGAAGCTGCAGTGTCCGGTTGTTGTATATCTGAAGCTGGAGTGTCCGGTTGTTGTATATCTGAAGCTGCAGTGTCCGGTTGTTGTATATCTGAAGCTGCAGCGTCCGGTTGTTGTGTATCTGAAGCTGCAGCGTCCGGTTGTTGTATATCTGAAGCTGCAGCGTCCGGTTGTTGTATATCTGAAGCTGCAGTGTCCGGTTGTTGTATATCTGAAGCTGCAGTGTCCGGTTGTTGTGTATCTGAAGCTGCAGTGTCCGGTTGTTGTTTATCTGAAGCTGCAGCGTCCCGTTGTTGTTTATCTGAAGCTGCAGTGTCCGGTTGTTGTATATCTGAAGCTGCAGCGTCCGGTTGTTGTGTATCTGAAGCTGCAGTGTCCGGTTGTTGTGTATCTGAAGCTGCAGTGTCCGGTTGTGGTTTATCTGAAGCTGCAGTGTCCGGTTGTTGTGTATCTGAAGCTGCAGTGTCCGGTTGTTGTGTATCTGAAGCTGCAGTGTCCGGTTGTTGTATATCTGAAGCTGGAGTGTCCGGTTGTTGTGTATCTGAAGCTGCAGTGTCCGGTTGTTGTGTATCTGAAGCTGCAGTGTCCCGTTGTTGTTTATCTGAAGCTGCAGCGTCCCGTTGTTGTTTATCTGAAGCTGCAGTGTCCGGTTGTTGTATATCTGAAGCTGCAGTGTCCGGTTGTTGTGTATCTGAAGCTGCAGTGTCCGGTTGTTGTATATCTGAAGCTGGAGTGTCCGGTTGTTGTGTATCTGAAGCTGCAGTGTCCGGTTGTTGTGTATCTGAAGCTGCAGTGTCCCGTTGTTGTTTATCTGAAGCTGCAGTGTCCGGTTGTTGTTTATCTGAAGCTGCAGCGTCCCGTTGTTGTTTATCTGAAGCTGCAGTGTCCGGTTGTTGTATATCTGAAGCTGCAGTGTCCGGTTGTTGTTTATCTGAAGCTGCAGCGTCCCGTTGTTGTTTATCTGAAGCTGCAGTGTCCGGTTGTTGTGTATCTGAAGCTGCAGTGTCCGGTTGTTGTGTATCTGAAGCTGCAGTGTCCGGTTGTTGTGTATCTGAAGCTGCAGTGTCCGGTTGTGGTTTATCTGAAGCTGCAGCGTCCGGTTGTTGTGTATCTGAAGCTGCAGTGTCCGGTTGTTGTATATCTGAAGCTGCAGCGTCCGGTTGTTGTGTATCTGAAGCTGCAGTGTCCGGTTGTTGTGTATCTGAAGCTGCAGTGTCCGGTTGTGGTTTATCTGAAGCTGCAGTGTCCGGTTGTGGTTTATCTGAAGCTGCAGTGTCCGGTTGTTGTATATCTGAAGCTGCAGTGTCCGGTTGTTGTGTATCTGAAGCTGCAGTGTCCGGTTGTTGTGTATCTGAAGCTGCAGTGTCCGGTTGTTGTGTATCTGAAGCTGCAGTGTCCGGTTGTTGTATATCTGAAGCTGCAGTGTCCGGTTGTGGTTTATCTGAAGCTGCAGCGTCCGGTTGTTGTGTATCTGAAGCTGCAGTGTCCGGTTGTGGTTTATCTGAAGCTGCAGTGTCCGGTTGTTGTGTATCTGAAGCTGCAGTGTCCGGTTGTGGTTTATCTGAAGCTGCAGTGTCCGGTTGTTGTATATCTGAAGCTGCAGTGTCCGGTTGTTGTGTATCTGAAGCTGGAGTGTCCGGTTGTTGTGTATCTGAAGCTGCAGTGTCCGGTTGTTGTATATCTGAAGCTGGAGTGTCCGGTTGTTGTATATCTGAAGCTGGAGTGTCCGGTTGTTGTGTATCTGAAGCTGCAGTGTCCGGTTGTTGTGTATCTGAAGCTGCAGTGTCCGGTTGTTGTGTATCTGAAGCTGCAGTGTCCGGTTGTTGTGTATCTGAAGCTGCAGTGCCCCGTTGTTGTTTATCTGAAGCTGCAGTGTCCGGTTGTTGTGTATCTGAAGCTGCAGTGTCCGGTTGTTGTATATCTGAAGCTGCAGTGTCCGGTTGTTGTGTATCTGAAGCTGCAGTGTCCGGTTGTTGTATATCTGAAGCTGCAGTGTCCGGTTGTTGTGTATCTGAAGCTGCAGTGTCCGGTTGTTGTGTAGGTCACCCACCTGTGACCCAACAAAGGTCACCCATCTGTGACCCAACAAAGGTCACCCATCTGTGACCCCACTAAGGTCACCCACCTGTGACCCAACAAAGGTCACCCATCTGTGACCCCACTAAGGTCACCCACCTGTGACCCAACAAAGGTCACCCATCTGTGACCCCACTAAGGTCACCCACCTGTGACCCAACAAAGGTCACCCATCTGTGACCCCACTAAGGTCACCCACCTGTGACCACACTAAGGTCACCCATCTGTGATCCTCACGTAGGTCACCCATCTGTGACCCCCACTAAGGTCACCCACCTGTGACCCCACAAAGGTCACCCATCTGTGACCCCACTAAGGTCACCCACCTGTGACCCCACAAAGGACACCCATCTGTGACCCCACTAAGGTCACCCATCTGTGACCCCACTAAGGTCACCCACCTGTGACCCCACAAAGGACACCCATCTGTGACCCCACAAAGGACACCTATCTGTGACCCCACTAAGGTCACCCATCTGTGACCCCACTAAGGTCACCCACCTGTGACCCCACTAAGGTCACCCATCTGTGATCCTCACGTAGGTCACCCATCTGTGACCCCCACTAAGGTCACCCATCTGTGACCCTCACTAAGGTCACCCATCTATGACCCTCACTAAGGTCACCCATCTGTGACCCTCACTAAGGTCACTCACCTGTGACCCCCACTTAGGTCACCCACCTGTGACCCTACTAAGGTCACCCACCTGTGACCCCACTAAGGTCACCCACCTGTGACCCTACTAAGGTCATCCACCTGTGACCCTACTAAGGTCACCCACCTGTGACCCCACTAAGGTCACCCACCTGTGACCCTACTAAGGTCACCCACCTTTGACCCTACTAAGGTCACCCACCTGTGACCCCACAAAGGTCACCCATCTGTGACCCCACTAAGGTCACCCACCTGTGACCCCACAAAGGACACCCATCTGTGACCCCACTAAGGTCACCCACCTCTGACCCCACAAAGGTCACCCATCTGTGACCCCACTAAGGTCACCCTTCTGTGACCCTCACTAAGGTCACCCATCTGTGACCCTCACTAAGGTCACCCATCTATGACCCTTACTAAGGTCAACCATCTATGACCCTCACTAAGGTCACCCATCTATGACCCTCACTAAGGTTACTCATCTGTGACCCTCACTAAGGTCACCCACCTGTGACCCCCACTAAGGTCACCCATCTGTGACCCCACTAAGGTCACCCTCCTGTGACCCTCACTAAGGTCACCCATCTGTGGCCCCACTAAGGTCACCCACCTGTGACCCCCACTAAGGTCACCCACCTGTGACCCCACAAAGGACACCCATCTGTGACCCCACAAAGGTCACCCATCTGTGACCCCACTAAGGTCACCCACCTGTGACCCCACAAAGGACACCCATCTGTGACCCCACTAAGGTCACCCACCTGTGACCCCACTAAGGTCACCCACCTGTGACTCCACTAAGGTCACCCTCCTGTGACCCTCACTAAGGTCACCCATCTGTGGCCCCACTAAGGTCACCCACCTGTGACCCCCACTAAGGTCACCCATCTGTGACCCCACTAAGGTCACCCTCCTGTGACCCTCACTAAGGTCACCCATCTGTGACCCTCACTAAGGTCACCCATCTGTGACCCTCACTAAGGTCACCCTCCTGTGACCCCTCACTAAGGTCACCCATCTGTGAACCTCACTAAGGTCACCCACCTGTGACCCCCACTAAGGTCACCCTCCTGTGACCCCTCACTAAGGTCACCCTCCTGTGACCCTCACTAAGGTCACCCTCCTGTGACCCTTATTAAGGTCACCCACCTGTGACCCTCACTAAGGTCACCCACCTGTGACCGTCACTAAGGTCACCCATCTGTGACCCCACTAAGGTCACCCACCTCTGACCCCACTAAGGTCACCCACCTGTGACCCCCACTAAGGTCACCCACCTGTGACCCTCACTAAGGTCACCCATCTGTGACCCTCACTAAGGTCACCCATCTGTGACCCTCACTAAGGTCACAAATGAAGGTACGTACACAGAGGACAACAAAGAGATTAGTGAAATTCTAAGAAGCCAGTATGAGGCTATGTTTAGCACACCAATAAACAACATGAAAGTTGATGACCCAGACAGCTTCTTTATGAATGACATTCAAGCTGCAGATAATATAACGGATATTACCACAAACTCGGAAGACTTTGAAAGAGAAATTGATAATATGCCTATGCACTCAGCTCCTGGGCCTGACTCATGGAATTCAATATTCATAAAGAAATGTAAAGTACCAGTAGTGAGAGCACTCAGCGTAATATGGAGAAAGGGCCTGGATACAGGGGAGATACCAGCAGCACTTAAATCTGCAGATATAGCTCCGTTGCACAAGGGGGGGGAGTAAAGCCTTGGCAAAAAATTATAGGCCAGTTGCACTAACATCACACATAATAAAAGTGTTTGAAAGAGTGATTAGGAATCAAATTTTTAGTTTTATGGAAAACAATAAATTGCACAACCCAGGACAACATGGATTTAGAGGGGAAAGATCCTGTCTGTCACAGTTACTCAACCACTATGACAAAATCACAGAAGCTCTAGAAGAAAAGCAAGATGCAGATGTTGTATACACAGACTTTGCAAAGGCGTTCGACAAATGTGACCATGGGGTGATAGTTCACAAAATGAGGTCAATGGGAATAACTGGAAAAGTAGGACGCTGGATACTCAATTTCCTGTCGAACAGAACACAAAGAGTAACAGTCAATCAGATAAAATCCAGTTCAAGCGATGCTAAAAGCTCTGTACCTCAAGGTACAGTCCTTGCACCGCTACTGTTCCTTATTCTCATATCTGATATAGACAAAAATACACGTCACAGCTTCGTGTCGTCCTTTGCAGATGACACAAAAATCAGCATGAAAATTACCTCTGCTGAAGACATTGAAAAACTACAAGCAAATGTCAACAAAGTTTTCGATTGGACAGCAGAAAATAACATGATGTTTAACAGTGATAAATTTCAGGTACTCAGGTACGGCAAAATTGAGGATCTGAAACATAATACAGGGTACAAAACACAATCGAATCTTCCCATAGTAGAAAAACAGCATGTCAAGGATTTGGGAATAATGATGTCCGACGATCTAACGTTTAGGGAGCATAACCAAGCAAATATTGCGTCAGCCAGAAAAATGATCGAATGGATTACGAGTGTCGGAAAATCCGACACCATTTAATAATCATACAGATAATAGCTGTATTGTATAAACAAGTTACCCATAGAAAACGTAACTTGTAGTGGAATTACCGTCTAAAGAAAACGGGATATCATCACCACATACCATTATAAATTCACCAGCTATTCTGCTGGGAATTATTCTTAAATACATTAGTCTTTGGACTTTACCATCATAAAAACATCTTATATAAATTAACTTAATTATCAATATTAAAGTAGAGTAAATGTGACCCTTCTATCACTTTCTGACATGTGGACAATGTAAGCCAGGCATCAGAGTGAGGAAGGAGGGCAGCCATTGTTTATACGAGACCAGAGGCTCACACGGGAGCAAATTCGGCTCCTGTTAATTTTACTTGGACGTAGTGTTATGGAACCCAAAGGTGTACCATTTTCAACACGCTGTCAACAAATTCAAGTTAAGTGTTCTTTCCGAAACCCATGTATCTTCATTTATGGCCATTAATGTCATTATATAGGGTGAGCCCGTTAGAGCACGACATAGCCTCAAACTAAAGGTAATTAAGCCAGGTCTTTATTGTTCCATGTACTGTATAGTGTTTTCTCTGATATAGCTTGTCATATATAGGATTCTGGCTTTACAGCTAGCGCACTTTTGACAGGTCAAGACGAGGAAGCAAGATTTTGTGCACCAGTTACTGGGTGATGGAAGCTACCTCAAAGAGGATAATTTGGTGTCTACACCCTAGTTATACCTGGTGGACTAACCTGCTGTACTATAAGATAAGGAACCTCTTCAATGTATGTAGTCTATTACTGTAGTTTGATTGGCTGCATATATATTAATTTAATAAACCCCCCTAATGTGTAGAGGATCGATTTGTGAGATTTAGAGATTATTGCAGAAATACAGTCCACTCATTATCATACAAATTGCTATCGAAGTATATAAATTAACGTAAATATAAATTCTATATATATTCATATAAATTAAATAAATATAAATCTCACAGGTCGGTTCCCACAACGAGAACTTTCAAATCGAGGGATCCCATCACAATGGTTGTACTCTTCAAGTCACTTGTGTTGTCCCGTCTCGAGTACTGCTCAGTACTCAATTCCCCCTTTAGAGCAGGAGAGATTGCTGAAATAGAACGAATACAGAGAACATATACGGCACGCATAGACGAGATAAAACACCTAAATTATTCGGATCGTCTCAAAGCTCTCCAAATGTACTTTCTAGAAAGGAGACGAGAGAGATAGAAAATGATATACACATGGAAAATACTGGAGGGCCAGGTCCTAAATCAACACAGTAAAATAACAACGTACTGGAGTGAACGATATGGTAGAAAATACAGAATAGAACCAGTGAAGAGCAGAGGTGCCATAGGCATAATCAGAGAGCACTGTATAAACATCACAGGTCCGCGGTTGTTCAACGTCCTCCTAGCGACTATAAGAAATATTGCCGGAACAACCGTGGACATCTTCAAGAGAAAACTGGACTGTTTTCTAAGAGAAGTTCCGGACCAACCGGGCTGTGGTGGGTACGTGGCCCTGCGGGCCGCTCCAAGCAACAGCCTTGTGGACCGAACTCTCACAAGTCGAGCCTGGCCTCGGGCCGGGCTTGGGGAGTAGAAGAACTCCCAGAACCCCATCAAGCAGGTATCAACCAACCACATGTGACTAAGGTCACATACATGTGACCCCACTAAGGTCACCCACCTGTGACCGTTATTAAGGTCACCCACCTGTGACCCCACTAAGGTCACCCATCTGTGACCCTCACTAAGGTCACCCATCTGTGACCCCCTTCTAAGGTCACCCACATGTGAACCCCCACTAAGGTCACCCACTTTGATCCTCATTAAGGTCACCCACCTGTGACTCCCCACTAAGGTCACCCACCTGTGACCCCCACTAAGGTCACCCACCTGTGACTGCCCACTAAGGTCACCCACCTGTGACCCCCACTAAGGTCACCCACCTGTGACCCCCACTAAGGTCATTCATCTGTGACTCCCCACTAAGGTCACCCACCTGTGACCCCCACTAAGGTCACCCACCTGTGACCCCCACTAAGGTCATTCATCTGTGACTTCCCACTAAGGTCACCCACCTGTGACCCCCACTAAGGTCACCCACCTGTGACTGCCCACTAAGGTCACCCACCTGTGACCCCCCCTAAGGTCATTCATTTGTGAGCCCCACTAAGGTCACACACCTGTGACCCTCACTAAGGTCACCCATCTTTGACCCGCATTAAGGTCACCCACCTGTGACCCCCCTAAGGTCACCCATCTGTGACCTCACTCCGGCCACCCATCTGTGACCCCACTAAGGTCACCCATCTGTGACCCCCACTAAGGTCACCCATCTGTGACCCTCACTAAGGTCACCCATCTGTGACCCCACTAAGGTCTCCCATCTGTGACCCCCACTAAGGTCACCCATCTGTGACCTCCACTAAGGTCACCCACCTGTGACCTCCACTAAGGTCATTCATCTGTGACTCCCCACTAAGGTCACCCATCTGTGACCTCCACTAAGGTCACCCATCTGTGACCCCCACTAAGGTCACCCATCTGTGACCTCCACTAAGGTCACCCACCTGTGAACTCCACTAAGGTCACCCATCTGTGACCCGCACTAAGGTCACCCATCGGTGACCCCACTAAGGTCACCCACCTGTGACCTCCACTAAGGTCACCCATCTGTGACCCTCACTAAGGTCACCCATCTGTGACCTCCAGGCACCATCTTCACTATCATCCATGACAAATTTTCTCCCTGCTCATATAAAATTTCCCTCACTTTTCCCTGCTCACACTCGGTTAAAATTGGTGATAAATTCGATGTAAAACGATGTGGGAGGACTTCATTTTCGCGCCGAGCCGCGTCCTCGCTAAAATTTTTATCCGTTTATGTTCGCGAGATATGTGCGTTATGTTGGCGAGCCAGAAGGTCTTATCTGCGCGACTTTTGAAAAGTGATGGTTTCTCGTTTTGTCATTTTTACTTCTAATATATAATTTGTATTGTGCGTTTTTCCTTATAGACGGTGAGCTTTTAAATATAGTTAAAATATATTTGTTCTCGATTATTGTAGTTGGTATTTTCGGGAGAATATCTCGTGGCAGTTATGAGTTGTAGAGTTTTTTAACGGAAATTTCTTTCCAAATACTTTAGAACCATTTTTATTTTATTCTTTATGTACAATCATTTTATATTATATTTTTATTTTGAGAAGAACAAATTTGACTTATTAGACCGCTAACGGGTTAATATTTAGAGTGGAATATGCAAACATTTATTTTCAGGTCATCTTGAGGTTATCTTGAGAGGATTTCGGGCCTTAGCGTCCCCGTGGCCCGGTCTTCGACCAGACCTCCTTTGTTACACACACCCAGCAAGCAGCCCGTAGCAGCTGTCTAACTCCCAGGTACCAATTTTACTACTAGGTGAACAGGTACATCAGAGTGAAAGAAACTGTTCATTTGAATCCGCCTCCACCGGGGATCGAACCCCGAATCTCAAGACTACGAATCCGGAGCGCTGTCCAATCAGCTGTCAGGCCCCCCCCCCCACAGACTAGGTTAAGGTTAGGTTAGGTTAAGTGATTTGATTTGTTTATTATTAAGGGAGGATAGGTTAGGTTAAGCATGTATATAGATATAGATAGATAGAGCTGGGGATAGAGCAGGTTAGGTTAATTCATGTAAACTTAGGTTGGATTAGATTATTTGAATAAGTTAGGTTATGATCGGTTAATTTAGTGGGATTGAATGATAGGCATAAATAACTATGGAATTAACATAGACAAATAATTAGATAAATATTTAATAATTAGGAAATTATTATTCATAAAATTTATTATTGAATTCAAATATTGTATATACATCTTTCAAGTAACTAATTCTCTTCAAAGTTCAACCGACACGTAACTTTTAATAGCTTTAAATATAATTAACGGTCAAGTAATTATGGAGCAGAATGCGGTCAAAGGAGGGAATTTCCAAGGCTTCAAAAGTCGAATGTCTTTTACCCACGACGCTGGCAGTAGGCGTCGTGCGTCCGACACCCGGTTGACGACAGTTTGTTGTGGGAAAAATGTTGTACGTGATTGCCTCAGTCGTTTGATATAAATAATGATAGATATTCATGTTTTATTGTATTAAGTCGGTAAAGATAGTTTGTATAAAATAATACATTAGTGAGAGAATTGTTGCGGGGTCGAGAGAACGACCCCGCAACTCTTATGCAAAAGGTAGCCCATCTTGTATATATATATAAATATATATATATATATATATATATATATATATATATATATATATATATATATATATATATATATATATATATATATATATATATATATGCGAACAAGCCTGAATGGTCCCCAGGACTATATGTGCGAATGAAAACTCACACCCCAGAAGTGACTCGAACCCATACTCCCAGGAGCAACGTAACTGGTAACTACAGGGCGCCTTAATCCACTTGACCATCACGGCCATCAAAAGGAAGTGATAGAAGAGGCTATTTGAGCCACTTCCCCCGCGGCAACTCGGATTCACCAAATCACCTCATTCTTTGGGGCACACGTGAGGAACACAAATGCGAACAAGCCTGAATGGTCCCCAGAAGAATGAGGTGATTTGGTGAAATGTTATGCCCAAGATTACCATCCGAGTTGCCGTCGGGGAAGTGGCTCAAATAGCCTCGGCTATCACTTCCTTTTGACGGCCGTGATGGTCAAGTGGATTAAGGCGCCCTGTAGTTACCAGTTGCGTTGCTCCTGGGAGTATGGGTTCTAGTCACTTCTGGGGTGTGAGTTTTCATTCATATATATATATATATATATATATATATATATATATATATATATATATATATATATATATATATATATATATATATATATATATATATATATATATATATATATATATATATATATATATATATATATATATATATATATATATATATATATATATATATATATATATATATATATATATATGTGACGGGAAAGTGTTGGAGTGTAGATGTTCGGCAGTCCTCCAATGGCAGGTGTCAATGCCTAGTCACACTTACAAAAAAAAAGATAGACTGCTTGCCTGTTTGTCTGTGGTAAAGTAAGGGAAGACACGCAAAACACAAAGTATGATCAATGAAACTTTAATTAATATAGAAAACAAATTAAAAACAAAGACAATCCCTTGGCTATGTACAGTGCAAACGAACAAGTCAAAACATATAACATAAATGAATAATAGGGATAAAGTTGCTCTACAATAATATAAAGTTAAAGGTGTAAAATAATCAGGTGCTGAGAATATGGCACTAGCTGCGAGACATCCACCTGATACAGCATATATCAGTTAGTTGTTCAAGGCTTGAGAGCACAAGGATATTCTGACTTCAATGGCTGGATCAAGCCCAGACATCGACTCAGGTAGAGGGCGCTGAGGTGCAATGTGCAGGTGTGCAGTCGGTGAGTCACCAATCAGGAGCAGGCAGGCTGGGAAGGGTAGTTGGCTGGTTGATGACGAGCCGGCATGGAGGGAGTGGAGTAGGGGTGAGTCTTGGGTACGTTTTGCCTCCTGGTCAAAACGTTTTGTGCTACTGGTAGACATATCTTGAAGGTAGCATCTTATTGTTGTATAAAATACGTAACTTCATGTAGAGAAGAGCAGGCTTTATCTCTTTTGAAAGAGATTATCTTCACAACTCTCCCCCGAAGCCTGCACTTTCAGGTGAAGTTACATCTTCAGGTGGTAGAGTAGTAAGTGGAGTTGTCTCTACCTCATAAACTCTGGAGAGGGCGTCTGCTATGATGTTGTCAGAACCTTTGATGTAGAAGATCTCCAGGTTGAAATTCTGCAGATATAAAGCCCATCACAGAAGCCGTTGATTATTGAATTGGGCTTGCTGCAGGAAGCGTAGGGGATTGTGGTCCTAGTAGATGGTGGTTGACCGAGCATCTTGCAGGTATGATTCAAAGTGCTGCAAGTTCAGGACAATGGAGAGTATCTCCTTTTCGATCGTGCTGTAATTCTTCTGGTGGGGTTTTATCTTGTAGCTGTAGTAGCTAACAGGTAAAACATCCTCGCCTCGTTGTTGCATCAGGTCACCCCCGATGCCGGTACCACTGGCGTCGACATGGAGGATGAAAGGCTTGGTGATATCTGGCGAGGCGAGAATAGGATAAGAACAGAGCAGGAATTTCAGTTGTTCAAAAGCCTAGTTATCAGTGTTATAATCCCAGATCAAAAAATACGTGTCTTATGTATGTTAAAAAATCCCTGCCGCATGAGCCACTCCCCGCCCAACAACGAGAGGGGTTTCAATATCATGGTATCCGGGTACTCGGTGGTAACTCTACACTTAATGTTTTGAATGCCTATGCACCTACTGGCCTCTTCCAGTATACTGACCTACCTAGTTTTGCACATACTGATTCTACAATATTAATTGGGGATTTAAATGCTAAACACAAACAATTAGGGGATCAACTCACAAACACCAACGGGAGAAGATTGTTGGCACTTCTCGATGCATATGATGATGTTCAAATTGTCAGAAAGAATCAACCAACGCAAATATATGGAGGAGTCCTAGATAGGTGCATTGGCTTTAACCTGTCATACACAACTCATGAGACTGATATTATGGATGACTTAATGTCTGACCATTTAGCCATAACAGCTAACATACACGTGGCTAATGTTGACCTACCTGGCACTAAGCTGAGTAGACGCAGGCTAACAGTAAGGAAAGAGCAAGAACAATTCTTTATAGACAGCATAGAACATTGGTATAACAATTATGAGCCTGAGAATGTACAACAGTTTTATGATGACCTCATAAATAATACCTATGAGGCCATCAAAAATAGTGAGTTACGCCAAACAAAAAGAAGTACTGGTAAACAGGTCAGACACAACCAGTACTATGATGATGCTAAACTGAAAGAGCTTAAATCAATTGCTAGACAGACAGGTAAAGCATATAAGAACCTTAGAACTCCTCAAATGTTAAAACTGTTTCAGGCCGCGCTTGCAGCGGCAAGGGAGAGAATGACTGAACTGAGACAAAATAAATGGGAGGGTTTTGTTAGTGGACTTAACCTGCATACTCCCCTGGGCAAAGCCTGGAAAGGCATAAACAAAATTATTGGTAAAAATAGTAAACAAGTTTCACACCCAAACCCGCTACAGAAAGCCAATCAGTTAATTGCAAAATGGGCTCAGGTTTCCAGCCTTGGAATGTTACCAGCTAGCACTAGGGAGAAATTGCGGGAGAGGTCCACAGACAGAAATGCTCTCATAAATTTCATGTTGAGCAAGCAACATGATGAATGTGATGTTCCATATACAGATTATGAATTGGATGCAGCCCTCTCCAGGGGCAGGAGCACTGCTTCTGGTGAGGACGGTATCACCTATGATATTCTAAGAATCCTACATCGTGTACCCGGTAACCCATTATTAGAATTGTTTAATGCCAGCTATGTCTCTGGGCAGTTGCCTGTATCATGGACCACCAGTCTTACGGTACCTGTACCAAAGCCTGTCCAACCTGATGCTTTCCGTCCCATCTCACTGACCAGTTGCATGTGCAAAACCTTTGAGAGAATGGTGCTTAATAGATTATTGTATAGAGTTAAAGAGCACATGTCACCTGATATCAATGGTTTCACACATGGTAAAAGTGTACACAACTGTATCACAACCTTTCTTACTGTTCATGGAGATAAAAGGCACAA